AGGCCTTACCTGTGGGGAATCTGATAGCATCACTTGAAGTGGTGTGTGAAGAKTAATGGCCATTGCCAGGGATCAAGTTTTACTTGCTTCATGGGCCAGACATATCATGTTGTAGTAAATTGTGTGTAGCTGAAGACATTGATTGCAATTAGCTTCCCAAGTACATGAGAGGTCAGATCTATAACCTCTATGAGAGGTTTTTTTTTTCCCCTTATTATTTCTGCCTGAATGATCATTTTCTATGGACACAGCTCAGGCTGTGACTTTATTGGGAAAAACTAGCAAACATGAGGGAGAGCTAAAAAAGCGTCATATTATGGACTGTGCATGCATAGTAACCATTTTACCATATGCAAGTGTAACATGGTAAGAGTAGAACATTTATGAAGAAGGAATTCTTAATTTAGGCAATGGCTTTCTTTTGATCAATCTAATAATTTCACTTGTGCCAATGCATTCACTTCTCTGATCACACCAGATACTTGTTATCAGTATAGTTAAAGGGAAGGGGTTGCCTTTGCTAAGTCTTTCTGGGAGATTAATTTTGTTTCTGCCCACCTTCATGGCCCTGACCAGTCTCACCTGGAGCTGCCTGTAGGCCCAGTTTTAGCTCAGTCCTGGCTTTTTATGCCCTTCCTGAGTTACGCTTAGGACTGCTGGTCTCCAGTTCTGCCACAGACATATCCAGCCATGGATGCCCTTGACCTTGACCTGCATGTTGAATACCTGGCTTGAACTCAGCCCATCCCCATGGAGCTCCCTGATGCTGTGGGATGGGCCTGGGTTTCTCTTCCAGTTCCCATGARAATTTCCAATGGGTCCCAGCCCTCAGGCTGCTGCATTACCTGATMTTAATCCCCTGATATTTTGTAGGGAACAAAATACCTAAAAGAAGAAGGAGTTGGTGTGGTTTTGCCAGGGGCACAGAGTAAGYAATCTGACATTTAGAAGATTCAAAKCTAAATAAATCATCATAGACTTAGGACAAGGTCCTATTTCTCCTAAACCCCAGCAGAAATTTGYTTCTGGGAACAAAAAGAGAATTTTGTGTCTCTTCCTCCACTCTCTACACCTACATTTAAGGGGTGGGGCCAGAATATTTAATGTCTTTGGAATTGCAGTGAAAACTGCTTTTTC